TTCTATAAACACAGTTTCAGAGCATTGTTGTTACCCTGAAAAGAAACTCTGTATATCTATGATGTCACTTCCCAATTCCTCTATTCTCTACCCTCTTCCTAGCCCTTAGCAAGCACTAGTGTACCTTTTGTCTCTATGGATTTGTCTATTTTAGACATTTTATGTAAATGGAATCATATGTGATTTTTCAGTAACTGAGATATTTTTTCACTTAGCATAATGTTCTCAAGGATCAGCCGTATTTCGTATCATCAATTCTTCATTCCTTTGTGGCCAAATAATATTCCAGTTTAGCCTAAAGCTAGTTTTGTTTATCCATTTCTCTGTTGATGGAGATTTGGGTTGTTTTTCTATTATGAATAATACTGCTATGATAATTGGTCAGTTTTTGTGTGGACCTAAGTTTTCATTTCTCTTGGGAGAATTCCTGGGAGCATATTGTTTGGATTACATGGTAGCTCCCTATTTAAGTATTTGAGGAACCACAACATTTTTCCACAACAGTTTCCAACACTGGCTGTACCATTTTACATTCCCACCAGCTGTATGAGAATATTCCATTTTTCCACATCCTCACCAACACTTGTTCTTGCCTATATTGATTGATCTTGACTGTCCAAATGGATGTAAAGCCATGTCTTATTATAATTTTGATTTCCCTTAATGGTTAATGATACCAAACATCTTTGTATGTTCTTTTTTTCCTTTTTCCAATTAGGAGAACTGACATATTTCCTTTCCAAAGATCTTTGAACACATTTGAAAAGGAAGAAGCCAGATTTTACTGTGTTGAGAAATAAGTGGGAAAGAAGAAATAAATGATACTCTTTTAGGAAACAGAATGGAGGGGATATGTGTAGGGGCAGAAATGGCATGAACTTCTGTCTTGAGGACTGATGAAATCATGGCTCTGGGCTGTCAACCATCTGGTTGGCAACAGCGTCCTCTAAGATTTACTATATAGTTCTTTATTCTGTCCCTTGGATTCACTTAGCTATAGGACCCAACTGCTAAGTTTTGAGGCAGGCACATTCTCAGCTTGAAAGACTACTTTTTGATTGCTGTTAGTCCAAGGGCTCTCCATTAATTGTGTTCATTACTAATGATCATCATTAGTCCTTTTTTGGCACCAAGGCTCTCTGCAAAGATGGCTGTCCTGGATCCTCATTATCTTCCTGTTACTGTGGGAGATAGGGGTGTCTCCTGAATCATGCTTTTGAAAAGTTTTAAATTCTGTCTCCTTAACAGGAACCGTAGAGATGAATTCTAATGTGCATGCTGATGGTTTCTGTAATTTCACACTCTGCATTCCACTAGAGGAAAGATCATCCCTGGCGATTCTATAATCACTTAATACCTGGGCCCTCAAGTACTCTGAACTCTTTATAGCTAGGGATTTTCACAGCAAATTTGCATCTGTCTAAGCTAGAATAATTTCATGCAGGCTAGGTTTCTTGGCCATCTTCTTCTTACCCCTTGAATGCATCATCTTGGTAGATCTGACCCTCCCAAGGCAAAGGTTTAGTAGCCTTCCACCTTCTAACAGAGCACTTGTCTACTTCCTGTTCTTGGTCTTTCCATGGCTTAAATTGTGCAGACTTGAGCAGTCTCTCCGGTGGGTTCACTGAGGAAGTAGAGTGGGGCTTTCTGCCTGAAAGTTGACCCGTAATTCCTGTCAACAGTTGGGTCTGTGTGCTGAAATAATCAACGAAAATAACCCACAAACTGTCCTCCTTGGTATAGCACCTCATTACTTGTCCTGGGGGACTAGTGAGTATAGGTTATCAAAAAGGAAGCACAGTCACTTCCTGAGGAAGTCGGAGCAGTGCCCAGTTAGTGGAGTGCTTTAACCACTCTAGCCTCCTTAGGGCAGAAGTTCTAACTGGCTCCCTGTTCAGTCAAAAGGGCCCGAGGGAAACAGGTACTCCATGTGTGTGTATTGGTAGAACACATGGCAGAAAGAAAGAAAGGGAAGATGCTGTTCAGCTGGTCATTGCTTAGTAGGGCAGAATACAGTGCCATGGTGCCCCATGATAAGTTTGTTTATTCAACAGATATTTTATTGTGCTTTGCCTTTCTCTGAGAAGGTATGCACAGATGGTCCCTGAATTGGAATAGTTTGACTTAGGATTTGTGGAACATTTTATTATCAAGTAGGATTTGCATTAGATGCTTTTGCCCTATTGGATGCTAATGTAATTGTTCCAAGTATAATTCAGATGGGCCAGATCAAACTGAGTTCACTAGGTTAGGTGTGTTAAATACATTTTCAACTTCATAATTTCAATGTAGGCTGTGTTTGTTAGGATGTAAACCCAGCCTAAGTGGGGAAGCATCTGTGTATTGTAGGGCTGGTGGTGGTGGAGGGGAGAGGCGCTCTCCCAAACAATGTCATGGTATCTCACTGTGTTAGCTTTGCATCATTGTGAAAAAATATCTGAGATGATCAACTTGTAAGGAGGAAAGACTATTTTAGCTTACAGTTTAGGAGGTTTGAGTCCATGATTGGCTGGTCCTTTACTTTTTTCTCCTATAGAAAAACATCATGGAAAGCATGTGGCCAAGGAGGGCTCTTGGATATTGGTTGGGGTCCTAATATCCCCTTCAAGGCCACACTCCCAATGACCCACTTCCTTTCACTAGATCCCTCTTACTAAAGGTTCTACCATCTCTCAATAGCACCACCGACTGGGGACCAAACCTTCAACATATGAACCTTTGGGGTGCATTGAAGTTGCAATCTATAGTACCCACTCAGAAACTGGTAAACAATCCAAAGTAGCCAGACAAGTGTTTTAGATTTCAGACCAAGAAGGGAACACTGTAGGCTAGAGCAGTGGGGAACGTGGGCTGAGACAGGGGGGGCTTGGAGAGCAGGCTGGATTTGGATTGGCAGCGTGACACAGTGAAGCAAGATGGCCAGGTGGAAGGAGCAGCTTGAGGGAAGAGGAGGAGCTGCCTGAAGGATGCATCGGGTTCATGGTGATGAGCAGAACAGCAGGTGTGTAGGGTACAGGAGCTTATGTTTTAAAGTAGCTCAAGATGGGATTTGAGCCTAATCACACTAATCACATTGGCCTGGTGATGGCATAACACAGTGATGTAAGGCATGCACCTGGAATCTGACTGTGTGGATTAGGGATTCTGAAATTGAGCATGCATCAGGATCGCCCTGTGGGTTTGTTGATGCAAGGCTCTAGGCCTCCAGAGTTGCTGATTCAGTAGGTCTGGGGTAGGGCTGGAGAATATGCATTTCTCACTGGTGAGTTCAGGGATCACTTTGAGAACTGCTACCCTAGAATTCAGAGGTTAACATACCTTTTCTGTTAAGGGCCAGAAAGGCAAATATTTTAGACTTTGTGCTACATAGGGTCTGCATATGTATTCTTCTTTGTTACTTTCCATATTCCTGTAAGCATGTACATCCTGAGCCTTATACAGATAAGCTGTTGGGGGAATGGGAAAGGGAGGGGCAGCTGGATGCAAGTTTACTGATCCCAGGGCTTCCTTAGGTTATCTCTCCTCTGCCACCTAGCTGATTGATTATTGCTCAGCAATCTCCTGTAACTTTATTTTCTCATCTAATTTGTTTCTCATAAATGGGAGATGGTAATATTAATACTTACTAGAACTTTTATGAGCATCCAACAAGCTAAGGTACAAAGCAGCATTTAACACAATATCTGGGATACAGCTAGAACTTATTTATTATTTAATGTTATTAGTAGAAGTACCTGTTGACAGGTGAGGGGAAGGCCTTAAGAGACAGACCAACAGAGATCCACTGAATTACACACTCTGTAATCTAATTGCTCCAAGATCCTGCTATCATGTTCTCTTAGGCTGCTTGCAAAGAAGATCCCTTTGACCCAAAACATTTGCACTCTGCAATACATCCTGGGTTAGTCCCTTGTAGGAGATCATTGCTTAGCCTCTCCTCGAGTGGCACTTTTGTCAACTGGCTGGTTCCTGAACCTAGGTCTCTAGCAGAAAAGGCAGCAGATAAACTGGAATACTGGTAACCCCTTTGCAGTCTATGGTCAGGTCCCCCTTGCTGAGAAGCCCTGATTAAGAACTTTGGCGCATCATGTGCTGGTATCACATGGGATCGACCACCTTAGTTTATGAAACTCTGTCCTTTAACTTTTCACTTTGCTACAGGATAGGAGTGAAAGTGAGAACCACAGAAAAGCAGACAGCCTGGTACTTTGTGTTTCCTGTGTTTCACAGTGTACCAGTGAACAAATGAAAATCGGTTTTCGTTTAAGATAGCTAGAACTAAGGTGGGGGTGGAGCTCAGTGTTGGAGCACAGGCCTTGCATGCTGGGTTTCTGGGTTCGATAGCAAGCACTGCAAAAAAAAAAAAAAAAAAAAAGCTGGCACAGAAAGATCAGTGACTGTACCTCTGGCTCTCTCTGTGCTAAGAGAATTATCTCATCTTTAAACACTGATAGTGAAAGCCAGGCATGGTTAAATAAGATGGGGGTTCTCTCTCACTTCCTTGTTGCCTACCCTTGAGAGGACATCCACTTTCTTGCTGACCTCTTCAGCTGCATGCACTAATCCTTGTCCAAAGCACATAATAGTGACTTTGTGAGCTCAAGTTACAGACACACAAAGTACCCCATGGTATGACTCTATCCTCTGCTTAGGTTTTTGCTGATATGCAGTAAAATATCCTTCTATCTCTTCCCCACCTTGCAAAGCAAGCTTCCTGTTTTGACCTTGGTCCAGATAGGAGCAGCCCCACTACACCTGTTAACTCACTCAGACACACTTCCCCGGCCGTGTTTGTACAGCTTCTTGTTGTCTCACTAGATTTCCCCTCTCAGCTTACACATGCCAAATCATAAATTAAGGTGCCGAACCAGCAAATAAAGAAAAAAAAAAAAAAGGAAGTTGACATTTGATGTTGAGCTATCCGAGTGAAATCATGACTTCTGGCTTGTTTTGCTACGCTTTACCACGGCCACTTTGCTAACTGTCGTCCTCCTTCACAGCAGAATGGAAGCAAGGAAAGGAAATCGGCTGACCCAGGAGCCCGAGTGAGACCCGCAGACTTGCAGACACAACCTACACCATGAACTTGAGTCCACCTTCTATGTGTTGAGAGCCAAGGGCAGGTGAAGTTGCCAGAGAGCAATGGCTCTTTTTACTCCCTGGAAGTTGTCCTCTCAGAAGCTGGGCTTTTTCCTGGTGACTTTTGGCTTCATTTGGGGTATGATGCTTCTGCATTTTACCATCCAACAGCGAACTCAGCCTGAAAGCAGCTCTGTGCTGCGGGAGCAAATCCTGGACCTCAGCAAAAGGTACATCAAGGCACTGGCAGAAGAAAACAGGAATGTGGTAGATGGACCATACGCTGGTGTCATGACAGCTTATGGTAAGTGCTGTGCTAGGGATGGTGGGGGGATGGCGGGAGTTTGGCCGGGAGCCAGTGAAAGAATCCTGGAGGCTCCTAGACTTGAACTTGCCATTGATTATTCATTACTGTCGCTTCTTGGGTAATGAATCACATACACGGGGACACTTTTAGACAGGTAAAGCAATGCCTTTTGGGAGATGGCAAGCTCCTGTGCACACAGATACCCCCCCCCCACCCCAGCGATGGTCAGTACAGGCAGCACTCTGGGTCATGTTTACAGCTGGATCCTCCTCCATCAACACATTTCTGGACTGCCTGATCTCAAATGGGAGTGTTTTCATGGAACGCTGAAAAACACATTATCTGTCCCTACACAAAACTTAATTAGGGATGGTGGGGATGAGGTGAAGTGGGGTGAGGAGGGTGGGGAAGAGTGTTTTTTGTGAATGTCACCAAGCTTAGAGCCAAATGTGTGTGTGTGTGTGTGTGTGTGTGTGTGTGTGTGTGTGTGTGTCCGGGCAGTGTGCAGGACATGGGAGCTTATGTGAGGGCTAATAGCTAATAGCTTTTCTTTTTGCCCTTTTCAGATTTGACTGCTCTTGTTTCTTGCTCTTGTCTCACTTTGAGAGAAATCTTTTTGTACCTGTTGCTTATTTTTAGGCACCTCAGATACTTTTTTGAGATAATATAGAGTAAAAAATATATATACAAATATAGGATATCTTTTCTTTCAGTAAAATTTATGCTGAATTGTAGACAAAAGAAAAATAGAGAAAGTAAGAGATCACACATCAGTGGACCTCTTCAGGCCATATCCACAATTAACATTTCAGTTTATGTCTACACACACACACACACACACACGCACATACACACACATATTTATACATGTGTTTTCTGAATTAAAAAAAAAATGAGGCTCCACTTTGAGAGCCCACACTGGAAAATTGGGTAGTTTCTCAGAATAGTATAAGTCACACTAGAGGAAAAACAAAAAGAACAGACAGGCACCATTGGTGTTGCCAATGTGGATGATGTAACAGGTGGCGATGCTGTTTCCAATTTTTTTGGTTTATATGCTCCTTGTTCCACCTTTGGGAGAAAAGGAGAGTAAGTGTAGCAATTTCCTCCTCCTGTTTATCTCAGTCTGTCAAACCTTTTACATGGACAGGAAGAAGCTATGTAAGTGGTACACTTACAGACTTTCAATTTCACTGGTTGACTTTTTTTTGTTTGAGATGTTTAGCAGCACCCAAGAAACAAACAGAGGGAAGGCTTCCTCTATACTGTAAAGCACAATGATCTGGTCTTAGCTTTTCAGCCCTACAGAGAGATTATTCTTTCTAAAAAGTTACCAAAGAGAGCAAAGTAGTTTGTTAGAATTTCAACCACCTTGCATGCTTACAATCATAGGAATTTGTATCTCTCAGAAGCTAAAGGAATTATTTATTCCAACCTGGTCCTTTTATAGATGAATCTTCGTGAAGTTATTCATCTTGTTCTCAAAAACAGAAGAGAGTCAGATAGGCCTCATCAGCAAGTCTAACTCACATTGCTAGTGTTCTTTCATCAGATGAACCTGATATATCAAAGTGGTCTTTGCAGCTGAGTTTCTGGAATTTAATTGGACTGAAGTGTGTTTGTGCTAGAGGTATTTGGGATCCCTGTGTGGTGAGATCCTGCTAATATAAGGCTTTCTCATCTGTTGTTATTGGGCCCTAGGGCTAGATGTGTCTTTATTGTGGGAGGTTGTTCATGCAAGATAAGATTTTAGCAATAGATGCCAGTAGCACCTCCCTGGATTTAACAATAAAACATGGCTTCAGTGTGAGGGAATAATGGCTCCCCTCTCTGCTACTTTGGAGAATCATTGCTCCAAGAGTAGAAACAGCAAGCAGAATCTGACACCATCTTCTTACAGATGTTCTCAAGCAGATAACTCTGTGTGTGTGTGTGTGTGTGTGTGTGTTTCTGGGGATTGAACCCAGGGCCTTGTGCATGTAAGACAAGTACTCTACCAACTGCGCTATAGCCCAGATAACTATTTTTTGTTATTTCAGTTTGGCCACCAAGTTTGATCTATGGACCAAGTTCAGACTGCTGCTTACTTGTGCAAATAGAGTTTTATTGGAACATAGCCACTAGCATTTGTTTATAACAAATTCAATATAAGATAAACACAGTAATACCAGTATTTATTTCGCAAAACATCTTATATATTTTGAATCCATCGTTCAGTAATCACCATAGGTCATTCTTAACATTCATCTGGTCGTGTTACTCATAGACTCAATGGTTTCCCAGGACCCTGGTGGTCTAAGGCAGAGTCAGCAACCTATGGCCTGTGGCCCAACTCCTCCTTGCTACCAGTTTTTATCAATAAAGTTTATTAGAATACAGCCATGCCCATTTGTTTATGTATTAGTTGCCACCGAGCCTGCACAACCTAAAATATTGATTGTCGGATCCTTTATCAAAACGACTTGTCGGTCCCAACCTAGATAGTCTTTGGGTGAGTCTTCTTATCTTGTAGGGTGTGTGTGTGTGTGTGTGTGTGTGTGAGTGAGAGAGAGAGAGAGAGAGAGAGAGAGAGAGAGAGAGAGAGAGAGAGAGAGAGAGAGATGTATGTATGTATGTGTATTTTCTAAGTGTTTCTCATCCCTGTGTGTGTTTGGATCCCCTTCATTAGGAGCACATCCAAAGCAGTGTTCCTCTGCCCTCTGGAAACACTGTTTCTGAGTGACAGGTCAAGAATCACAGCAGTTATTATGGTGAGTTGGGGAGCTAGACAGTATGACTTTGCCACATCCTGTCTGCATAGTTTGGGCCCTACAGGCACAAACTACTTCTAAAGTGATGTACCAGTACCTCTCTCACCAGGGACTGTGTTGCTTGTACAAGGTGCTGCGTGTCAGCAGCCTGGCATGTGCCTGCTAGTGCTGTTAGTTTGAGTTGTACTCAAACAGTAACACAGATGGCCTCCAACTTAAAATTGTTCCACTTTCTGACGATGCAAAAGCATACACGTAAACTATTCTTTTACTTTCAGTGCAGTATTGAATAAACTACATGAAATATTCAACACATTATTGTAAAATAGGATTTGTGTTTGATGATTTTGCTTAGGGAGGCTAGGCTAAGCTGTGATGTTTGATAGGTTAGGTGTATTAAATGCATTTTCAACTAATGTTGTTCTCAACTTATGGATTTATTAGGATATAACCCCATTGCAGGGGGAGGAACATCTGTAGAAGTGTCAAAGTGTAGCTCCTAACCTACTCTCCACCAATTCTGGTTCTGCTAATTTGAAAAGAAACTTCTGGACTTTGTTGGGACTTAGGAATTCAAAAGTGCCATCTGGAAGTTCTCCTGGCAGACTGTGTGGCACGGTCAAGAGCATTCATTCCTGGGGTGCGGAGGGCATTTCTCTGTCAGTTCAGAAAGAGGTGTGTTGGCTTTTGTCTCCCAACCACATGTGAAGCCAGAGCTCTGCAGTACAGCCTCGTCTGCATCTCTTTGTCCAGCATCGCTGGGGCCATGCCTATCAGGACATCATGGGAATTGTGGCACAAATGGTGCCACTTGCCCCAGTCAATGCCGTTTTTGTTTCTGAGGTGAATTGATCTCTGTTTCTAATGACCTGACCCAAATTCTGATCCCCAGTGATCCCCTCTTATCTAAAATGGCAGACCTGGTCCACTTTGGTTCTCTTGGGAACAGTAATGGAAACCTGAGGCCAGGTGGGTGTGAGATTCCCCCTTGTGGTTCAACTACTCGTTGTTAACTCTGCCATGTCTCACCTGCTGGCTTCTCTGGACACTGGGGCACTGTCCTGGGAAGGTCAGTAGCTGGACTAACATTCCATAGCCATTCAGCTTCTCTCTGCCACTCCCACCACATCACACTTGCCTGGCTCCTTCTTGCCCTCCAGACTTTGTAGCCTGCCCTTTCTTGCCTTCTGCTTTTCTCCTCATTTCCTGAGCTGCTTAGGCCTAGACTTTTCCTTTCTCCTGGCTCTTATCCTTGAAGCCTGGCACTGGGGTAATGTCTCTGTTGGCTGGTGTATGCCAAGTGCTGTCTAGGTTCTACTCCTACAGTGGGAAAAAGATGGATGATGTTCCTGCTCTCATGGATGTGGTTGTTTTCTTTGGAGAGAAAAAAATAATAAGAGAATGTCAGATAGTAGTAAATTCCTAGGGGAAAGTAACAAAGAAGGAATGTAATTTTTAAAAGTATCCAAGGGGCTTGGAAGGTCAGAGAAGGCCCCTCTTGAAAGGTGTCTTTTAACCTGAATGACAAAAGGAACAGCCAGGTGTGGGGTTGGAAGAGAGAGGTTGAGGCAGAGCATCTGGGACAGCTGTACCAGACCCTGAGGCTGTCACACGCATTCAAGGGAGAAATGGAAGTTGCAGCATCTGGCCAAAGTGAGTAAGGAGCAACATGGGAGGTGGTGAGGTCTGAGAAGTGGGCAGTGTGCACAGGGCCCTGCAGGCTGTGGGTCTCAGTGTGATGGGTGAGAGGGTGGGAGAGGCAGTGGAGATGGAGGTTCTCATGGGTGGACCAGGCCTTGGCCTCACCCTCTGACTCTGACCACTGCTGTTTTAATCAGCTTTTTCATCACTGTGACCAAAAGACCAGACCAAAATGATTAGAAGAGGGAAAGTTTCTTTGGTGCTCAGGGTTTCAGAGGTCTCAGTTCCTAGATGGCTCATTCCGTTGCTCTGGGCCCAAGGTGGAGCAGCACATCAAGGCAGAGGAAAAGCAGCTCAGAATGTGGCAACAAGGAAGCAGAGAGAGCTCTGCTCTCCAGAGACAAAATATAAACCCCAAAGGCACACCCCCAGTGACCTGGGGCCACACCCTACCAGCCTTCAGTTACCACCCAGTTAATCCCTATTGCGGATGAATGCACTGGTTAGGTTAAGGCTCTCATAACCCAATCACTCCACCTCTAAATTTTCTTGCATTGTCTCACATGAGCTTTTGTGGGACACTTCTTATCTAAATCATAACAACAG